TAGATTAAAAAGAAAACCGATATCATATTGATATTTAAATGAAATGTTAAAATTTAAATATGTACAATATATTTTTATGAAAAATTATAATTTAATCATTAAGGAATCTTTATGTAAAACATACGAACTTTTTTTATATACGGCTGAAAATTTTAAAACATTTAGATATTAAAGTACGGCTTTTATATACGGTAATTGTTTAATATCAGACTTCGTATTAACTTCTATTATATTTTATTATTATTATTTTCTTACGATGATATATAAAAACAAATAGAGAAGAATACGAATCAATAAATAAAAAAAATGTAAGATAAAAAATATAAAAAATGCATATATATATAAATAAAGTACTTACCTTCATTTGTTCCTGTCGTTTGTAAGCGTGCATCATCAATAATTTTCTTTCGTCTTCGGACATCAAAGGTTCCCGTCCTGGCATCCCAGTTCCTCTTTTCTGCAATTTCACGATGACTTTGGTTTTCTCGTTCGAGCCTAAGAAATCCTTTAACTTCTTTCCTTGAATCATTTCTTTACCGGAGAACCATAACTGCGCCAAATTAATGTCCATTACCTGAGAACAAGGGGCGGAAAAAAAATTATAAAAATAAATGTATTATTTGTATTTACTGATAAAAAACAATAAAAAAAATATCCTAGTAACAATTATATTGTTAATTAGATAAAAAAGAAAAAGATTATAAATTATATTCACGATTGTATATACGAAAGTTATATATATATAATTAGATAATATTTTATAATATATGTGTATGTATTAATAAAAAAATTGTTTTAATGTTATAAAAAAGATTTGGAATAAACGTGTAGAAAATTATTAAGCATTTAAATAATCTCTCTTACTGTTGAATTGAAGAATACGTCTTCACCGTAGGAAGGACGATTAGGGAATGTCTTTACTACAGCCGGCGACAACAACAAAAAACGTAAACAGCGTATAATGCTCCAGGCAAAGTAACCACTTTGAAACATTATCGATAAACGTACTTTACAATTTATACGATCTTAACATATATTTTTCTATATAATATTAATTAAAGAAAAAAAATAAAGAGAAAATGAGATAATTAATAAAATATTTTTTTCTATAACGTCGATCACATGCGAAAGTATAATTTATGCGAAATAAAATCGATTATATTATCTTATGCACACACGTATTTTTAAATATTTATTTGTTAATATATTTATAAGAGAAAATATATAAAATAATTTTCTAATATATAATTCATCTAAATAATTTTATATATATATATATAAAATTAATAAACAAAAAGATAAAGTGTTTATTTTGTTTAATGTAGATTACGAAGAGAAAAGAATATAATTTAAATAAAAAATAAAGATATTATAGAAAAATAATTGAAATAAAATGAATAATTGAATTAATTTACCTCTAAGGATGCTTGAGTACCAGTAAGATTTTCATTATTCTCAAATTCTTGACGTATCACGTCGTGAGGTGGTAAACCCATAGGATAAACTATAGTTACTGCTCCTCTAAGTATGTCTAAAGCATCTTGCACAATTTTCTGTGTTAGAAGTTTATCTTGTTGAACCAATTTCTAAAAAAATTCAAGGAATGTTAACTTAAACACGCGAACAAATGTAATTTTTTCAATAATTCATTAAAATACCTTTGATATCATGGTTCTGGCATCTTCCACGGTTTTTTTTAATACATCTTGCATCCTTTCATTAGGCTGACGACCATTTCTTCGACCTAAATCAATGAAATCATTTAACTTTCAATATAAATCACCCCCTCCCCATGACATGTTTCTATTTTCTATTAAATTTATATTTAACAAAATTTTTAGGAAGAATAAAAATTAATATTAAAAACAATTAAATAAACGTACCGACGGGATCCTTGTTAAATGTCCATCCACCCATGGGTATACACTTCTCACCCCATTCATCTTTAAGCTTAAGTTCTTCCACTTGTTCATCCGTAAGTCCCATAATGTTTGGTGGTAACATGGTACCGTGTTTTGCTAAATCTTCGATTTCTATAAATTCGTGTTACTTTTATCTCTCTCTTTCTTTCTTTTTTATTATAATATAATAAAGTTTATTTAACAAAAATGAAATAAATGATGCGACAAGAAAAAGATAATTTTAAACACGAAGTTAAATTATTAAAATCGTATATATATAATACTTTAATTAATAATTATTATCTTCGGAATATATAAAACGTGTAATTAATATCACGTGTAAACCGAAAATTAATGGATGCATAAAATCGAAACTCGAGTTTTTAGTTGTAGTTTAAAAATTATTTACCATAACATATTCTCAAAATCTTCAATCTGCCATTGTAAATGATAGTTATTTCGTATAAGACGTCATCCACCGGTGCATTGACATTGGTTTCGTAAAGAAATTGACTTTCGTCACCCTTTTTCACGTGAAGTTTCACCATTCTTGTATTAATTTGTTTTTTTTTTTT